ACTTATATCACAAAATAAAATGAAAGGCAGCAGAATGAAGAAAAAATCTTATATCTGCCCCTTTTTACAAAGAAAAAAAGAAGAAAAAATATTAACAATCTTCTAGTTACAAAAATACAGCAAAACAGAAACAACAACAAATAAAACTTACATAAATAGCCATTATTCTAATTTATATTTGTTCAATAAACCACGTTTAATCATTCTTTTAAACACAAACAATGATCCAGCATTTCTAACATCACTCTCCAGATCATTCCATAATTTCACTCCCTGTATCGACATAAACCGTTCCCTCAAACTTGTTCGATATCTGTGCTTCACAAATATTTCATTTCCCTTTAAATTATAAGAACTAACAAAATTTAACTGTATATTCAAAGGTAGCATGTTTTTATGAGCCTTAAACATAAGCTGTAGAAAACTGTAACCAACCAACTCCTGAAATTTTAATAATTCCAGTTGACAAAACAATATATTTGATGRGTGACTGTAGTGTTTTCTAGTAATAACTCTTATTGCTCTTTTCTGCAAAATAAAAATGGGGTTTATTATCGTTTTACATGCTTTTCCCCACATTTCAATACAATATATGATGTGTGGAACTATTATTGCATTATACAACATATATAGAGATTTGTCATTAAATAACTCTCGAGCTTTATACTGCAATTGATCTATTTTTACTTTTAGATTATTTATGTGATCTCCAATTAGATCTCATTAAAACCTATGACTCATTTAAAGCTCATTATAACTCATTACATTTTATAACTTATTTATAATTCTTAGATCAATATTACTCAGTAAAACATTATAACTCATTTATAACTTATGATAACTTATTTACATGTCATAACTCATAGCTTATTTATAACCTAATATTACTCATTATAACTCATTTCTAACTCAATATAACACATAACTCATAATTCATTTATACCTTATTACACCTATTTTTAACTAAATTCATTTATAGCTCATTATATCTAATATATTATTAGATATATTATTATAAGTGCTATAACTTATAACTCATAGCTCATTAGAGTTCATTACCATGCATGATAACTCTTTTATAACTCAATTCTAACTGTTTTGTTAAATGTTTTATGATCTGCATCATTTATGTGATTCATACAGGTTTTCAGAAACTAAAGGGAAGTCAGAGAAAGACGCTTACAGACTGAAATGTTTTGATCTTCTGACTCTTACTGCAGCCTGGTGATGTTGTTGATGTTGATGAAAATGAAGTTGAAGTTGTTGTTGTGGAACAGCAGGAAGGCCATGTACACAGGGTCATTGATCTGATAAATCATTGCTTTTATGGCCTATGACATGTTCCATACTTCCGCACAGTGAAGGCTGGAAGATTTCAAAGGTTTTAGATGTTGTTTGTCTGCTTGTGTTTGATTCTGGTTGGTGATGCTGGCTGCTGTTCTGAGACACATACCTGAGCTTTTATTGGATGTGTGGGCTTAAGGCCAGTCTGAGCAGGATGTGGATAGAACCACTGTTTACTTAGAGCTTTCGCGGAATCCTTCTGTAAAACTAGAACACTTCTCTGTAGTTAGGTTTTTCTTCTTTCATTCCTGATGCATGTGAGCAGTCATTTTCTTCTAAATGGTGATGTTTGATGCGRTGCTGCTCGCCCAGATAGAAGTGGAAATAAGTGGTCTGCTGTTAGATGCTGCCCCCGTGCCGCTGAAGAGGCAGTGATTGGTGCAGATGATAGCATGYGCTGACGCTCACAGTTCAGTAATGACAGATGAATCTGCAGCCGGCCTTCTTCTCAGGATGCCATGGTGGTCATTCTGAAGAGCCTGGTGCCTGGCTGCCTCTTCAACATCGTTGGATTTGGATCTACCTTCAAATCACTTTTTACAACCAGCCAGAACTATGAAGAGGTAAGCAGCTCTGTATAATAACACCTTTACATAAAGTGTACTGTCATGAGAACAGCTCAGACCTGGATTCACAGASATTACATGTTGAACATGTGAGAAGAARCAGTCACATGAGCTGTGAGGAATCCAGTTCTGTCATTATGATGCTCACAGTACTTTTTATGTTACAGCTGTGGTGCTGAGGCCARTATGGGTACATAATATATCATAAATACATAAGTCCCTTTGAWATACTGTTTGTGCACAACAGGTGCAGTGTATTGTAATCCCTCACAGTACTGATATTGTAAATACTTATAAATTGGAAAAAAAGCCATCAGGGAGCGCAAGCCAGTGTATCTCTTGTGCTGGTCCAAACCCAGGTAAATGGGGAGGGGCTGTGTAGGAAGGGCAAAAGGTGAAGGTGAAGGTGCTTTATTTGTCATCAGTGTATGTTTCCACACAATGATGAAATTGTGCTCTACATTTG